ATTTTGGATTTGAGCATATTGTCAATGTAGAGGGTACTTCCCTATTTGATGGATGCTGTGGGTGGGGTGGACTTTGGCACTGTGGTGGTCTACCTGACAAATGAAATTGAATTTTGGATTTGAGCATATTGTCAATGTAGAGGGTACTTCCCTATTTGATGGATGCTGTGGGTGGGTGGACTTTGGCACTGTGGTGGTCTACCCGAAAAATGACAGAAGACACTGTAAAGCAGGTTGGGGAAAGTTGAGAGGGGTTGCAGAGGGTTTCAGATCTCAGGTCTGAGATCTGAGAGGGTTTTACATGGAGAGAGTCTCAGAGGTTGAAGAAGGTACTCTCAGGGGAGGCAAAGGTGTGGATTCCCTTAGGGGATCCCTATTTATAGATTTTTGAGGGTTTCCCTTTCTGGAAAATTCCTTTTTAAGTTTGTTACAAAGTTGCTTGGTTCGTGCCATTGTGTTGGGGTTTTTCCACATGTCCATGCGGTTACCACGATACTTGGGCTCCCACCCTTTCTCAAAGTACGCTTTTAAGAACGTGAGATGAGTTGCTACGGCCCTTCTAAGTCCTTAATGAGAGTGCGGTGGGGAAATTGAGTGTGGTGGAGTTAAGTGTCAATTCATGCATATTCAATGGATGAGTTAGGTGAATGTTCTGTCAAGGGCTTAGTGTGATAATGCAATGTGATGTCATCGCATCCTGATCTATGAGTTGGGACTGATTGGATTCATGCTGTTACGCCATTGTCATATTGTTTTGTTAATCATACATAACATATAAAATATTATTTTACATTCAGTTTTCAATTCTTTTAGTTAATCATTTTGATGAAAATGAATCGTTGAGGCTGTATTGGGATGAGATGGTTTTTTGTATATCCTCTGTTCATTTCTCTTTGTACAGGGGTTTTCTGTAGTTGATTTTATTAATGAATCACTTTACAGTTTCCAAAAAAACGTCTGATACATAGTCTTCTATAATGAGAAAATATGACCAATATCACAAGAAATTAGGTATTTTGAATATCCGAGTGGAAGATGTTATGGTCCTAAATGGTTAAAATGCTTGGTTTGACGCGTTCCATCAGTCTTAAGGCTTTTGGTGTATTGGTTAAGCACATAATATGGCATCAGAGCCTACCACCACGTCTCAATTTCAAATCATAGAGAGGGCTACCTGGAGCAGAGTGAAAGCTGCTAAAAGGAAAGGGCTACCTACCACCAGAGTGAGAGCCATCATGAAGAAAGCTACCTACTGCTAGAGTGAGAGCTGCCTAGGGTGAAGCTGCCAAGGTGTTGGCTATGGAAGTGTGGTGGTATGTTACGGTCCTAAATGGTTAAAATGCTTGGCTTGACACGTTCCATCAGTCTTAAGGCTTTTGGTCAAGCACACAATAGAAGCCCTCTCTGGATGCTTTTGTAAAACTAACTTTTGATGGCACCAACCAAGGTAATCCAGGCCCATCTAGAGTTGGAGGAGTTTTGAGAGTTAAGGAAATGCCATTGCCCTTTTCTCATGACTGGGAGGAGTGGGGGATGCTACTAGATCTGAATTAGTGGGGGATGCTACTAGATCTGAATTGCTTGCGGTGATGCAGGACATTCAAATTGCAAATGAGTTGAACTTGGAAAGTTTGTTAATTGAAGGTGGTTCTAAGGTGGTGGTGGGGTGGTTGAAGGACCCTGAGTCTGTAATTTGGGGCTCCATAAATGAATTGAAGAAATTTAAATGGCTAACAAGAAACATGATTTTTAGAACACGGTGGGTGAGGATTGCCAATGCTTTCGCTGATAATCTTACTGAACGTGATTTTGAGAATACAATAGGGATAAATTATTTTGGGAGTGGTTGTAATTGTTTTATTTTCTTTATTTTGCTTATACTTGTACTGCTGTGTACTTGTAATGCTGTGATTGTTTAATTAAGAAAATCTCATTTACTTATCAAAAAATATTATTGTCTTGTTATTTAAGCAAATTATCATTTTGTGCAGGTAGATGCTCCATCTGCATATGTTTGTGCTGAAAGCACAATATATGATGCAACTGAGTGGTTTGTTTGCCAGGTAATATAACTATGGATTTTGTTGTTTAGGGCACTTGTACTTTACTCTTTTACATTTCTATTTTTGTCTGTATGCATACTTGTTTTTTTTTTTTTTGAGGGGGGGGGATGGAATATTATAAACAGTGGCGGAGCCAGGAATTTTCTCTTGGGGGCCAATTTATATGTTTCCATGTACCTTTAAATAGCATGTTTCCGGGTTTCTTTAATAAGCTATTTAGTGTTCAGAGTCTACCAACTACTCAGTGGTGCATGTGGCATACATGCAAATCAAAACAAGATCCATTATAGGGCACATTTCATTTTTCTTTAAGGAGGGCATGTTCCTAATTATTACTCGAGAAGATAAAATAGCCTTACTCGATGATTCTGAAGAAACAGTGTTGCATCATAATATGAAGTGAGTTCTTTGAGATTATGATTGTCTCCCACAGTTCATGGTAGTTTTAGCACGGAAAGGATGGAAGATTAGCACATATAGCATGGAAATGTATAAAGTTGTAAATTTACTAATTCCTGAAAGATCACCGTAGGCTTAACCAGAAGTCCAGAACTGGAGTTCCAAATTGGCTTCCTAGAAAAATTGAAATTTTCTAATGCATTATTTGCTTGAGTATATAAAATAGATAAGTAAACAAGATTTATATAGAAATTTAAAATTTTGGCATGCTCCAATTTGAGTGCTAAAGAAGTTTGAGATTTCTCAATTGGATTCTTTTTGACTTGGCCATATTTTGTGGCTTTATTTTTTAATCACTTAAATAGATTATATATTCCTTCAACCAAGGCAGGTAATATAAAAAAGTATATTTTTCCAATTGAAAAGGACAAATAAAAACTCACTTCTGTATGATGAATTTTTGTTACAGGGTATGAGGTGTCCAGCCAACACTCACAAACCGAGCTTTCATGTCAATACCAGTTTAACGTCTAAACACAACACAAAGGGGACTAATTCAGGACAAAGGGGAGGTGGAATTCCAACAACAAACATGGAAGAAAGAATGACAGAGGAGGAGTTTTTTGAGTGGTTGCAGAATGCAATGCAGTCGGGCATATTTGAAGCTGCTAGTGGCAGTGCTGCAGCAGAGAATTCCACTTCTAGAGCTGGGAACTGTTCCAAGAGTGGTGGCAGTGGTAGCAGTAAGAGAAAAAAGAGGGGCAAGAAGCAATGGTGAGGATTTCTTCTGCTTCCTGCTAGATTTTCTTGTACCAACCCGGGATGGCGTTTGTGGGCTCCCACGGGAGAGGGAGAGGGTTCCATCGAAAAAAGGGTGTATAGGCGAATCTTTTTCCTTAATGGTTGAAAACTACAGATAAATGTGTCTATATTCGGTTAACAAGATGGCTAACAACTTAAAGGAGTCCCATCTTCCAGGAAACAAAAAACCATAAGCTCTCTCTCTCTGTGGTGCGCGCCCGTCACTTGAGTCTTGACCAAAGATTTATTATAATCTGCTTGTGAGAAAGCTATGACATTGAGGCTACGATTCCTTAATGCTAATGGTTCTCGGATTCAGTTTGTGGTGCCCATTGTATAGTTTTAGGCTTCTAGTCCCCAGGGGAGCGGGGGGAGATTATTCTTTCTCGACTCCCCCGAGTCCTGAGTCTACTCTCTTTGAAAACTCCAGAGTCCAGAATATATACCGTATATTGCTTCGTATGGTTAGAAAACTTGGTGGATACTATACGTGATGGTGATTTTAAATAATAAATATTTATGATGCCAGAAAGACATGATACCAGAAAACTTTGACTAATCAAACCCCTCTCCCACTTGAATTTTAATAAAAACCCAAGTGATTGGTTACCACTTTTATGATGTAGTTGATTGGTTATAAGATTTTCAGGTATGGCATCATAGTTGAAACTTGAAAAGCCTCTTACATTAGTTGGTAGCTGGTTTCGTGTAAGACCACTTTTTAAATGGGAACCATAGGCTCCATCTGTGCATATATTACTTCTGTGACCTATGAATGAGGTTTAAATGTTTAATGAGGACGCTCACCGAGCAAATCGTAAACGCCTTGTGTCAACTGTTTATTAGTCATCTATCTCTGAACGCAAGAGTTCGAACCTTTTCTTCTTTCATTTCTATTTTCATTATGAGTTGGAAGTGCGCTTAATGGATCAGCCGGTCGCCACATTACTTTCAAGATTGGCTCCTTCATGCATAATCAATGCTTCAACTAAAGGCAATCTGTTGACTGTTGGAGACATTTTCGATAGTAAATTCATGGACCCAGTATGAAATGTGGCTCCCATATTGGTTCCACAGCCCGCCGTTCAGCTAATCCAAACTATTCTAGCAATACAGTTCTGAACGTACCTGTTAGAAACTTGGAAAATATGAATGGATTTAATTTACTGTAATGTCGAATAGACAAAATTGAAGATAGAGAATGTCATCTTATCTAACCAAGCAGAGACGATAACAAGAGATTATTGCTAAACCCAGACTACCCTCTACCAAATGCTTCGTCTTGAATATCTGTGCATAAAAAACAAAAAAAAAGGACCGTACATGTAGATAAATTGGAGATTCAGTACAGTAGTCGGGATCATAAGCGCCCCCTTGCATGGTATCATCTTAAGCTAGGCGTTTCCTTTGGTAACAACATTTTTTTATAACATAGTAACAATTTGTTCTTTTGGTAAATCCAAGTAACAGATTGAAGTACTTGCTGTCCACACCTTCAGCAAGTTGCATTGGATAAAGGTACGTCTTCCCTTTATCAACTTGAAGGATCGAAGTATCAGACTACAAATGTGCTTCTGTGCAGCCAATTTGTTGCTTAACAATCCTTCTGTCCCAACTCCTTTACAAATGCACTCGAGTCATTATTAGTTGGAAACTAACGTAGGATCTTTACCTGAATGCAACCCTCGAGTCATTGTTAGTTTCCATCCTTTCATCACAGGAGTAGTTGTTTAGCAAAGATTTGATGTGTTGAACCTCCTTGGGCATTGATCCAGTAAGGACCTGATTTGAAATATATCAAAATAGAACATCACGTGAAACAGAATATGTAGACTGATTATCATCTCTCCTAGTGTTAAGTTTCAACATCAACACATTTATATTCTACCTCATGTCCGGTTTCAGTTATCAGGACTTCATCCTCGATTCTTATTCCAATGCCTTGGTACCTATACATGCCACACGGATACTGATTAATAATAATAGTCAATAATGAAATATAGGCCTCAATAGAAAAGGTCTTGAAGACTCACAAAAGAATATGATTGGGTGATTGGGTAGAAACGCTTACCACTTGATCATTTGTTTCCAGTTATGAAAAAGGAATGTTAAGGAAAGGAAGTTGCTATATTCATTAAAGGTGTTGTTTTCTATTTGAGAGAATTCTATGGAATCTATAAAATAGTAAACCCAATTCACATGCGTGTACACCACATTAGGATTTTCAACGGATCATCAAATAATTTCAATGTACAGAACAATTGAATGAAGTGTAATAAGAAAATACCTCTTTGGACCATCAAAGGAGGATGGGATATAAACTCCTGGCTCAATTGTTATCACCTATCCATTAAAAAAGAATTTACAGTAAAAAAATGTGCTCAAGAGACGTTAAAGAAATTAAAAACCAGAAACCATGATCTTCCGGGATTTCCTTGCCATTGTTTCTACTTAAGCCATGAATAGAAAGTTCAGTAGACCAACCCAACTGGAAAAATTAAGATAGTTCCAACAAAGCCAAGATATCAGGAATCCAAGGCCACGATTATAACTTACAACACCTGGCTTCAGAGGACGGTCATTGCTAACCATGGAGCAATCGTGAACATCCATTCCCAGATAGTGACCTGGTTGATCATGAAGAAAAGAACTTTCTATTTAATCAGGCAAAAGATGGCTATTGCATATCTTGCTTACACAACAAATGAACTACCATAAGAAACAAATTCACTAAGCTTGCAGTTAGTGAAGGGCACACTACTTCTGTATGAATCATGCTGTTTAAATAAAAAACAATAGAACATAGTGGAAATGAAGGAAAGCCAAGAACTACCTATAGATGTTGGGTTCAACTGGTGGAAAGTCCGAGAATTGCTTCTACCATCTTTCAAGATTCCAACCTCTTTAAGTCCTGTTTGCAGCATTTCAACCTATCCATGTATTCTAAAAAGGATCAATGCCCTTTATATGTCAATAGTGCTTCCACATTTACCAATAAACGTCCAAACCAGTTAACCACGACAGCTGATAGTTTACTGACAAGGTCCTCTATTCATGCTGCTTTTTCTGGCATTCATTTTCATGCATGGATTTTTTTTTTCTTTTTGCAATCAATCTCAGGTGTTGGAAATAGCAGATTATGCGGCTCCTTCCGAATATGGAGACATGGGATCAAGCCCGCATAACTGCAGGTCCTCTGTGTTAAGGTCAGTAGACCTCAATGCACCCTGCTCTGCCCCCACCCCTTAATCCCCCTGTTATGTGTAAATATGTAATACCAAAAATAACATATATTTTAAAAAATTCCAATTATGTCATGAAAAATAATGTGCATGAAAATACCCCAGAAATAGCCATAACAAATTTCCTTAATATTATTTACTTTATTTTTCTTGGTTGCTGAAGTTTATTTAAAAAGAAAGAAAAACGACAATGACAACAACTATGGCAACCTCAAAACACATTATAAATGATCCCTAGAAGCCCTTTTTCACAAGAAAGTGAATAATTGTCATTTTCTGATCTTGGTAAAAGAAAAATCTTTTAACAAAATGCAAGTCTAGATGAGCCCTATTTATCTACAAGTGGGAATGACCCTTCAACAACAATTGGACAACGTTGTCACTTCACCATTTCAAGACAAAGAAATCAAATCAGAGCTGGAAAATGTATAACCAGCCAACATGGTCCCAGAAGAAGGTTTCTGATGCCACAGAAGCCTGAGACCCTGAGTTTCCAAGAGAGCAAATTGTCAAAGTTAGCTTAGCTCATTTTTCCTTATCGACGATGTCGATAGACATTGTTTCTTTCCTTTGAAAGAACGGATGGCAGATTTTTTATTTATTTTTTTGATATCTTCAGATGCCAGTTTTTTTTTCTTTTTTTTGGATCAATAACAACAATTTCATTAATCAAAAGGTACAAGGAGGGGGGAGCTAAACTTTCTTAACTCCCAACTGAGGCTAGAGCCCCACAAAAACTGAAATTACAACTGAGCCCAGAAGATAAATTCCCTACCCACCCCTGAAATTAGAACTGAAATTATAATCGGATGGCAGATTTTTAGCAGTTCTCATTGCTCATTTTCAAAGTGCTTTGTCATGAACAACAGAGAAGTGGAAATAGATGGATTAGTTTGTTATGTTGAACCATACCGAGTGGTTATGTATCTCACGAATGCTTGTACCAGGTTTGCAGAGCTTCACACACTCCTTATTGGTCTCTAGGATTAAATCATATAGCTCTTCCTGGAATCCAGAAACATCAATTATAAAAATTGTCAGTAGGTTATCATGACCGCAATATTTAAAAATTTAACTCTAAGAATGCTCAAGAACCAAGACTAAAATTCTCTAGACGTGGATTAGAGAAAAACAATAGTCCATTTGCATTGAAAGAACATTACGAAAAAGTGAACTTATGAAACGAAGAGAAAAGAAAAATGGTGAAGAAAGAGAGAACAAGGATAAGATAGATGTTGGGTCTAAAACACATGCCTACTCTCTCTCTCTCTCAAAATTACAGGAGGACCCCCATGGATCTAATATTACATAAAGTCCCTGACTGTATATTTCCCCTCAAGATACCACTAGCTAGCTTGTTCATAAAAATAATAATAATAATAATAATAATTTGGCAGCAATACTTGAGCTTCTCCTGAGGAAGGCAACCCAAAGTTCTAGCATGGTAGCAACTAGCTCTTAAACCACACCCACAGGGATCCGACCAGCTTGATTGCACCTATGGCTCTTTGGCAAGACAAGTCTTCAACTGATTAGAAGATACTCTCGGTGTTTCATGGCTTTCTCAAGAAATGGAGCAATCAGTTTTTATCAATAATGAAAATTTGTATTAATTCAGAATATCAATGCATCCAGAAGGATACAAGGAGACTGTACTAGCAGCATGAAGCTGACAAACTAAAGAAAAAGCTTTGCATTCACTCTGGTTTTAACCAAGGCATCAGCTATTGAATTAGCTAATCAAGGAGTCCATCTAAACAAGGAATTCAGATTGGATGCCATACCAATGGCTTCTCCAATCATCTGTCAGAGCCTCCAGTGACCTTCATTTTTGTTTTCCAGCCATCCCAAAACCACCTTACAATCCCCCTTGATCACCACATCCAACCATCCTAGTTATTGGGCTAACTTCAGTCCTTGTATAAGTACAGGTATCTCAACCTTTAATAAGTTCCCTAGACCAATCAGCCCTACAAAACTCATAATAATTCCATGATGGTCTCTTACCACACTTATGCCCAATGTTCCCAGGCTTCCAAGACTGCACCCATCAAAGTTAAGTTTCAGTTTCCCCATCTCTAGTGCTGGCCATGGAGTCTCAGTACAGTTCCAGGGCCCTCCAGAATAGGGGGAGTGATAAGAGATGAAAAGGGAATCCACTAGCTATGTATTCTGGTCCAATTGGGGTGGGAGATTCCTTGAGGGCTGAGATACTAGGAGCTCTTAAGGGGTACAAAGGATCAAAGACATGCATATTAATAAATTGATCATAGAAGATGATTCTGAAATTGTAGTGAACTGGTTAAAAGAGGACAACTCCAAGCTCTGGAACTACAGCAATGAGAAGAGGAAATTTAAGTGGCTGACTAAGGACATTGAAGTTAGTTGTACATGGGTAAAGAGAAGTGCAAACTCATAGGCAGATGGTTTAGCTAGGCAAGGGGTGAACAGAAACTCTATTTTTTGGGCTGTTTTGTAATTGATTTACAGTTTGTGTACATTGATGTATTAGGGAGTTAAGACTTTTTAGCTTAGCTATGTAATTTCTCAATCTGTAATAAAATTCACTGTTATTGATAAAAAAAAAGGAGTCTCAATACAGTTCTTCCTAGGGGAGAATCTAGCAACTGTGGCCCATCAGTATATCATCAGCTATTGGTCCTTTGAACTCCTTGATTGTAAGTACCCAATTAGCTGTCTTCACCATAGTATTCTATTATACTGTGCACATTTCCTAATTTGTTCTCACCATAGTATTCTACTATAGTGTGCACATCTCTCGTCAAATGTTACACAGGGATTGCCAACATTTAGCAGGAATTACAGCACCTGGAAAGGTTTCTCTAGTGTACAGAAGCCCCTAGAGCACCTTCTCTTAGTTTAGTGATAGGTTCTTGGTAAAAATCTTTGTCAATCATTAGCCAACACTTCTGTACCTCCTAGTCTCAATTCTACAAGTTACACATAAGTACTTCATTTTCGTGTTCTTTTCTTTAACCTAGAAGCCTAATTTCTTGTAGGGGTGCAAGTTTGTAATTTTACTTTACCTTACGGTAAATACAAGGCAGCTAGCCTTGACTCCGTCTGCATCCATGTCTATCCAAAGCTTATCCTGACACATCTATTAAAATTGCCTTTCTGATACACCTTGTGTTTCCAATACTTTGAACCTTGATTGGGCTCAGTTGTAAATTTGTAATGTGATTTTAACTGTGGAGAGGTAGCAGCCTGTACCTCTCCAAGGGATGTTTGCATTGTATGTACATATCTTGTTCCATGTTTTAAATAATACCTTAATTTACTTATTCAAAAAAAAAGCAGGATAGCAAGAAAGCTGATTTGCTGAGATCAGAAATCTTTTCTTGGACCAGGTGATGGCTTATCCAGAATATGAAGACTTCTTTTTTGAAAGGTGAAGAGTTGTATTAAGAAAGCAAAAAATTACAGCCCACTAAACCTGCACATCAAGGAACTGTGCCTGAACATGAAAGCTGTACACCAAATTTTTTTTGAAGATAAATAAAGAAGATTTTATTGCTAAAAGAAGAAAGTACATCATGACTAGGTGACAAGAGGTCACCCCCACCAGAATACAAGTGAAGCAAAACAGAAACCTCAAAAAACAAAGCTTTCAGAGACAACAAATCAGACATCAGAACTCCTTTTATGAATTCAGAGAAATCCAGAAATCAGCACCAAAGTCTTCTTTCTTCAGTCCATGAAACTCTGGAAGCAGCAGCACCCAACCAATAACTGTTTAACTGATAACAGCCACCACCTCTTCCAATCTTTTCTTCTTCTCCTCAAAAATTCTTCTGTTTCTTTCCTTCCAGATCTCCCAACAAACAGCGAAGGGAATACAGATCCATAAAATCTTACTCTTAATACCACCTTGGATTCTTGGCCAGCAACTAAAAATTTCAGCTAGATCTGACATAGAACACCTATCCACCTTGAACAGCTTGAAAAAGTAGGACCAAACTGGAGTTGTAAAGCCACATTGAAGCATTAGGTGAAGAACATCTTCCTCTCCAGCAAAACACAGCGCACACCAACTTTCTTTTTTTTATCAATCACAGCGCACACCAACTTGGGAACTAATACATAACCTCTAGCAATCAGCCAAGCAAAGGCTTCAGCCCTTGGTGGCACTGGTTTACCCCAAATACCCCTAGCTGGATCAGCCTCCACCTGGTTTCTGATCAAAGCCAAATGCATTGACTTGACTGTGAACTTCCCATCCTTACACTCTATCTCAATGTCTTAAAACATGGAGGCGTGACGCGAGGCGTTCCACTACCTAGAGGCATGAGGGGTAGTTCAGAACACAAGAGCCGTAAGCCTTCCGAACACAAGGGGGCGTAAGCCTCCTTAAGAGGAGGGGGTTAGGAGGAGGAAGGGGGGATCTCATTTTTTCATTATTTTTAATAAAAATCTTTTATACTAAGAAGAATAAAGATGCATAACATTAGTTGAAAGGGGGCAAACCACTTTCTTTCCCCTTATCTTTTCTTCCCTTCCCTTTCCTTTTCTTTTCTTTCCTTTTCTCTTTTTTCTTCTCTTTCTTTTTCTTTCCCTTTCCTTTCTTTTCCTTTCCTTTCCTTTTTTTTCTTTTTTTTCCTGTCTTTTTATATAAGATGTGCATGAGGCGTACGCCTCTCTAGCACGCTTCATGAAAAAAGTGCATGAGGCGTACACCTCAGAGGTGTCAGTGCCTCTGGCATACGCCTTAGGGTGTTTTGGGAGCGCCTCCAGGCGTATTACTCCCACGCCTTTTAAAACATTGCTCTATCCATAATTTGATATATGCAGCTGAGGATTGATCTCCAAGGCCTTCTGAAATTTGGATTCCAATTTCCAAATCACAGCACCATTAATTACTTCATAGCATTCTGAAATAGGCACTTCCTTCTTACCCGGCTTATACAACCTTGAGCATATTTCACAGAATTTCCCAATCCCTGACCAATCATCCTCCCAAAGCCTTATACTCAAACCACTTCCTACTTTCCAGGTATAAAAAAGGAATCATCAAAGAGTTAAATCTCATGATCCCTTTCCATACACCAACTCCATACGAGTATCTCACTTTGAATCCGACCCCATACTTACCAACCACCACTCTCCTCCAAAGGGCCTCCCTCTCTCTCTCTCCCAAACCTCCAAACCCACTTCCCCAATAAAGCTTTTTTGAAGGACTCCTACCCTTCTCAGCCCTAACCCCCATCCTTTTTTGGATCTGCACACCACCTCCCATTTAACCAAGTGAAACTTCTTTTTCTCAGCCCTAACATTCCACAAAAATTCTCTCTGAATTCTCACTCCCCCTCCACAGCAGCTGGAGCCTTTGGTAAAGATGGATAGTAAACCGGAAGATTTGAAAGAAAACCTTTTATCAAAGTTATTTTCACTGCAAAGGATAGGAATTTCCCCTTCCAGAGTCCAGCCTGCCAACCTTTGATCAATTCAGTCTAAAACAGGTTGCCATGTAGATGCAGCAGCAGCACTAGCCCCAATTGAAAGTCCTAGATAAGAAAAAAGGAAAGTCCCCAATCAGACACCCCATGGCCCCAGCACAATCCTCAAGCACTAATTGCTGAATATCTCCTACCCCTATCATTATACTCTTAAATTAATCTTGAGACCAGACAACAATTGGAAGCACTTAAGAATACTCCTTAGAGAAAAGACCTGCTCAACTGATGCACCCGTGAATATTAATGTGTCATCAGCATATTGCAAGTGAGAAATGATCAAATCTTCACTTCCAACCCTGAACACGGAAATCAGCCCCACTTCTCTCAATTTATCAATCAACTTGATCAAAACTTCCACCACCAGACAAACAACATTGGGGAGAGGGGATCCCCTTGCATTAAACCCCTTGGAGAACTAAAAAAATCAGTTGAAACCCCATTCACCCAGTGTTTTAAAAGCACAAGGCGCAAAAAAAGCGCAAGGTCCAATTTGCGCCTGAGGCGCAAGGCGAGGTGTGCGCCTTTTTA